AACTTTCTATTTCTATAATATTATTTAATTTTTAACTAATTATATTTAATTTATCTCCTATTGGTCTATCTTATTCAGAACTAAGTCCAATATTATATAATGTTCATTATGGTAAGTTTTGCGGTATTTCTATAATCATTTCTTTATATGGTATATATGGTTTTATATTTTGATATGGGCCTTCAAATGTTTTAAAATATTTTAAGAAACTATTAGATGATTATGTCATGTTTTTACACTTAAGGATCTTATCATTTCTTTAATATCTTCTAATTTTTCATCGTTATTTTCATTAGATGTTGTAGGTTGACATTCCAAAATGGGAAATCTACCTATAATAGTTGAAATTGGAGGTTCTATAATTAGGTTTCTTTTTATTAACGGAGTAGTTATTATTAATTCAAAATTAGTTTCATTAAAATCTCTATTATTATTCATATTTGGTAACTCAAGGGATAATAAAGGGGTAAATAATTTATCGATATAAATTCTATCTTCGATTTTAAACGTGATACTATGATGAGAGTTTGTTAATACATAATTTATTTGATATGTAATAGTAAATTGATGATTACCTTTTAACATGAAATTTTGTCTTAATAATTTATATCATATGATAATACTATTACTTAGATTTTTATCTTTAACACTTAATCCTAGTTGAATATTAATATTAAATTTTATTTTTCCTTGAATTAAATTACATTTTCATTTTGCAATAATACTTTCTTGATTATTAATTATACGATCATCTCTTATTTCTAATTCTAATGGTGTATCTAAGTCACTAAAAGTACTTTTTAAAATTACTTGAATAGTTGATATGTGAATATAAGCAATTTTAATTCTATCTATTTCTTTAATATTAGACAATCTATTTCTAATTTGTTGTTTATTTATAATAGGTATAATGATATTTCCTTGAGTTGATTCTGTGGGTATTAGTTCTTCTCCTATAATTTTTCCATAATATATAATATTTTTTTTAGAAAAGAAGTTTTTTAGTGTGTTATTTCTAAAATTATGTTTTTCGGATAGTGTAAAATTTGATTTTCTTATAGCATCTTTTTTGATATTATTTTTATTAATTAAGGCGTCAAAAATATATCCAGATTCATTTTTTTCATTGTTAATAATTATTGGTGAATTTTCTATTTCTTGAGACATATTTTATATCTTTAAAAATAATAATGAAATATATTATATCTATTATTTTTTATGATGAGTATGACAAATGATATGTATGAATGTAATAACATTTTTAATGATGCATGATGAATACTTTTCTTATGAACAAATGTATGAATAATCATATTTATAATAAAAATGATAAGAACGAAACTTAGGTCTAATACCCAAATTAAAGACATGACGAAATCAATAGAAAGTTAGGATAGGATTATACCTGAATGATGCGTCGAGATGGATTGTTTAAATTATACGGATGTTTATATGGATAATCTTGGGTATGTTTGGATAGGACTCTGTTATTCAGAAATAAAACAACTATTTTGATATTCAATTCAAGTCATAAACACTCAAATATCTCTTGTTCATTTCTTATGGGAAAAGGCCCTATTTATAGGCTCGAAAGAGCCGGTTACAATTATTGTTGCAATCGTATGATTGCAATACGACAAACATATATTTATATTTTAGACCCCTAGACTATGGAGGGTCTTACACTTTATGTTACATCCTACCGACACTACTTTATGTCATATTCTACCGACAAATACAAACAATAATTATACAACGACAAATAACAAATAATAATTCCTTTCACAACGAAATGACAAGTGTCTTCAATAATGTCTTCAATAATAATGGCTTTATACGTCATTGTTTGCGTCATTCCAGGGATTTGTGATAGCTTTTTAAACTAAATAGTCATTTTTAGAAAAAGACTTTTTGATTTATGTTTTTTTCCAAAAAAAAAAAGTTTTAAAATGTGTTTGTATAAGCTTTTGAGGGTGCAAAGGAAAAAAAAAAACAAAAGTTGGTAAGAGTCATAGATTGGTGACTTCTTAACCACCTTCTTTTTCTTTTTCTCAAAAATTAATTTAAAATATCTTTTGAAGTTACAAAACAACTTTTTAAACTTTTGACTTTTTGAAAATGCTAAAAGTCTAAAAAATCATTTAAAAAAAACTAGGGAAGAACCCTCTTTGCAGGTTTGGAAACGCCAAACAAATGGAAACCACCAAGTGACTGACCAATAATTTGAAAATGAACCGAATGGCAATGTACTTTGTTTTTTGGTAAAAACTAAAACAAATTGCAAAAAACAAAAAAAATGAATAGCAATGTATTCTATTTTTTAGTTAAACGAAATTAAATTGCAATTCAACCTCAGTCCAAATTCGGATTTCATTACATCCCTTGTCCTCATGGTATCAATTTGCTGTAATTTTAGTCCCTTTGACTCACCATAAGAATAAAATAAGCTATTAATATCTACACAACCCAGAAATAAAAATAATAATAATTTAAAATCAGGTTATCTTTGAATTCCTAAGAAATATTCAAAAATCTAAAATCTTGAAATTACTTCTTTTAGATGCCAAATAGAATAAATCAAAGCATCACGATTTTGCTTTAAAGGAAAATACAATGTAAAAGATGAAATTTCATCAGTTTTGTTGCTTCGCCAATCTTGAATTTCTCCTAGCAATGATTTCAGCAGCCTAACTCTTTCTTTTTTTAGAAAAATTAGAAGCTAAAGTTAAAAGTGACCAAATTTAAACAAAAATGAAGAAACAATTAAGAAGAAAAGGTAATAAAAATTAGATGAGTAAAATGCTAACCATTGAAATATGGCCATTACCAATAGAACTCGTTGTGTTCTCCATTTTGGTTTTAAAGCTCCATCTAAGAAGATACTTTAGAGAAGTTTCTGTCACCACTTAAGATCTGGCAATAACCTGCATCAAAATAAGATAAAATTACAAATATGCCCCTTACAAAAAAAGTGAGAAAGAAAACTTCACCTGATTTCATCAATACCAGTTGAAAACACTAATACCACTCCAAAAGAAAACTCACATAAAAATACCTGAAATAGGTTTTTGATTCAAATGTTTTTTTTGTTCATAATAAAACTAAAAACCCCTGATGCCAAAGTAAGTTATTTTTTTCAAACATTAAAAACTCCATGCCAAACACACACATGATTAGAGTTTTAAGATACCACTAAAATTATTTGGAAAGGAAAAACCAATTTCAATCAATCAATAACGATAAAATTTAAAATAAACAAATAGAGTGAAACTATTAACTTTTATATTTAATGGATATGATCATGAGTAAATTGAATTATCATTTACCAACTCACCTACTCTTCCATGGGATTGATGAATAACGAAAGTTGAAAAGGTTTCTAAAAATTGTCAATATACCTAAGTTGTGTGTTCCATTTCTCCACAACAATGTATTTCTTCATTCCCTTTGACCTGCCATCATTCAAATTCCAGAGTCATATAGATATAAAATTTAACCTGTCACCACGCTCCAACAGCCTGAGTTTGTCATAGCCAAGATTTTTGGATCGTTTTTTATCTGCGGTGTTATTAAGCTAGCAATCTGAACGGATAAAACAGTAATTTAAAAAAGAAAAAGAGAATCAAAATTTTCACATACGGTGTTGACGCTTGACCATCAAATGGGTTGACCTCAGATTGCATAAGCCTATTTGCTAGCACCAAGTATCTGTAATTGCAAGATTAGAAAAGGAAACCTAGAATCAAGATAACATAGATTAATATCGTATTCTACAATGTGTAGATTGAAAGCACAAACAATTGGAGATTTTTTCAAAGTATGACGCCATAATAAGACAAAAGACGATACTTCAATTTTGTAAATTGTAATGGTAACTAAAAAGAAATGAAGGTAATAGGTTGTACATATTATTTGTAATAAAAAAATTAATGAAAGTTAAAGTAAGTTGTTGTTTATGGTTACTATGTTTCTTCAATGAACTTTTTTTCCCCTTTTGGTCCTTTATTGATGGTTTCATGTCGACTGACCACATAAATTCGTAAAATTATGAAATATTTGGTGCTTAAATACAGGTTTCATTTTTTGTCTTCAATATATTAAAGGAAAGTAATATTTTGTTTTTTCTAGCTAAATTGGGCATCCCCTTCTGAAACTACAAAACAACATGACCCATATGTAGATTGAATACATCAAAAGCTTAAGGAATTTAGAGAAAACATCAAACTTTGTTGTATAATCCAAATTTACAAATTTGGTTGTAGCATTTCATTGAGCAGTAGTTGTACATTGTCAAAAAATTTCTCAAAAATCAAGATAAGCAAAACCTATACAATTAAATCTTTTTCTTAGGTATAACAGATGCAAGTAAAGTGGATAAGTAATAAGTTAACAATTGACGAAATAAAGAAACAAAAGGATAAACAAAATGAAGGAAACCGTGGACCTGAATTTTCCTTGAATGGAGAGTGTTATTTTGGATGTGTGTAAAAGGTTAAACTCACAAATCAAACATTTTTACCTTATTTGTGCGAGAAAGAAAGAGATAGTAGGCGTATAAAAGGTCAAGCATTCACAAAATAAACACATACGGGGTGCTTGCTCCCTCTTCGGTTGAAGGGGGGCACAAACGATTTCAAATGAAAGAAAAGAAATAGAATAATTCTAGCACAGTGGATATGATACAAAGTCAACAAAACCAAAGAAAGTCGATAATAATCTATTATGAAATTTCTTTACCTTACATGTGGAAGAAATTAAAATATTAGGTGAACGGCTGCAAATTCTTGGCTTCTATGCATCCCAGAGTCGCAAGTTTTACACCTCATCGTTTACACGGTGACAACCACCTTTCCCAATCAAATTCTCTGTAATTAAAAAGACGATTTTTTAATCAGTTTTGCTAAGTTTCTAGAAAACCGACACTCAAAATGAAGAAAATCAGTAAAATTACTTGACGCAAAGTTAGATGTTAAGGAGATTCCGATCCAAAATCTGACGCTATGCTTTTAAGGCTAATTTCACTATTCGAAGACAGCGTTTTTGGAGCCCCTGGCGTCGAACTGTTCGGCAGGTTCATCACCAACGACATCTTTTCTGGTCTCCATTGCCGACGACTTTAACATAGTGTTTTCTTAGAGAAGAGTCCATTCAAGTCTTTGATGGGTCAATCAATAGTGTTGTTTAAGTCGAACGCTTAATTGGGGAAAATCTAGCGAAAAAATTGAGAAATCGATCCTTTTCAACGCTTCTGTGCTATCGGAACAACTCGATCCCTAAAAAGAAGGTTGCAGTTTAATGGAAGCTGGCCACATAGATTAAACTCCGGTCGCCGTCTTCACTTCCTTCACTACTCATCGTTGCCTAGGTCAACGTGCCATTGGCGAAAGCAGATGCAGCCAAGATGACATCAACAGGGAGGGTCATCTTCCTTATTGTCGATGTTCCCCTATCAACTCGGAAGGGTTCCATCGATTAAAATTAGAATCGATGGAAGATGCATATGAGAGAAGACTAAAGATTGAATGTGAAATATGGGAAGGTGCGACGTGGCGATAGATTTGAGGCGGTGGATGGTTACGTGGAAGGACCAAAACCAATGAAAGTAGCGGTGGTAACGATTCGTGTACACAATGAAAAGTATATTTACTGCTTAAAGCTGTTAAGAGCAAAGCAAGTGGAAACCATTTCTCCAAGAAGGATAAAGTCATAAAAAAATTAAAGAAAAAAAAAAAGAAATTGATGTTGGTCCAATTATATCATAGAACTGTTCCAGAAGGGGCTTTACCAATATATATATATATATATATATATATATATATATATATATATATATATATATATATATATTATATATATATATAACGCCAAACACTCTCTTGATGTTGCCATCAAAAGATTTTTTTGCTACATTTGTTGAAACGTAGAATTACATGTTAATGTAATGATTTTAAATTCAGCTCTAGAAGAAACTAAAAGAAGAAGGTAATCAACATTTTATGTACATCCTATAACGAATCTGTCTCGGGATCCATGGAGGATAAATTATGGAGTACTATATATATATATATATATATATATATATATATATATATATATATATATATATATATTATATATATATATATATATATATATATATATATATATATATATATATATATATCGGGATAGGGAATATACATTACAGCCCCACCTAAGCTTAGGTACTAAACCTTTAAAATATATCGTTTTAACATGCTAAATATACCCGCTTTGGTTTCACTTGGTAAATATATCATTCTCCATAACATTTCTTTCTTTTATTATCGTTTTATCATCTCCGTTTTCTTTCCTTAATTATCGTTTATTACTTCATCCAAGTGAACATTACTAAACCCTAAACCTAAACCTAAACCCTAAATTTAAACCCTAAACACTAAAGCTAAATCCTAAACCCTAAATCTAAACCATAAACCCTAAACCCTAAACCCTAACCTTAAACCCTAAACCTTAACTCTAAACCCTAAACCCTAAACATAAACCTAAACCCTAAACCCGAAACCCTAAACTCTAAACCCTAAACCCTATTTGTGTCGATCTTGAATTTACATCTTGAAGTATTAATCATAAATCCATTAACCGTAGTCTTTATATAGTAAAACAATGTATTTTTAAGAGGTTTAGTACCTAAGCTTAGGTGGGGCTGTAATGTATATTCCCTTTTCCTATATATATATATTATATATATATATATATATATATATATATATATATATATATATATATATATATATATTAAAAAAAAAAAAAAAAAAAAAAAAAAAACCTAGATATCTATCTCGTTTTCAAAGTCCGTGTGATGTACGACTCTTATCAATCCTATAAAATATAATAATATAATATAATCCAGATGTTATCAAAAGGATAATATTTAACTATGATGAATTGATAAGGCACGGATGGTTTACATATGCAAGGAGCACTAACCAAGTGGAATTGGTCTAAAAGCATAGTTCAAACATCTCAAATTGGACTTTGAGCCATTTTAAATGTGTTACCACTGTATCCAACATCTTCAAGTAAATTTATGCCCTTTTAGCTTTCTAATCAATAATACTAAAAAATATAAAATTATTCTTTCTGGTTGCATATGGTATTTTATGAATATGCTAGATTTTGTAATAAGAAGTTTGATTTATAATGTTGGTTTGTCATGTATTTCAAGTTGTTCTAAATTGTTTCGTAATGGGTACACTACATGAAATTGGCCCAAGTGACATAAGTTTTAGTGACGACGCAATGATCGTCGATATACGTTACTTTTAAGAGATGACATGTAGTTTTCATACGGTTATTGAAAGATGTAAAAAACTTCTAACAATAACAATAACATGTCATAGTTGTATGGTAAGGCAAATTTGCCGCCGATAGCCCGATATTATTTTGGCTCCAATTTATAATAACCAACAACGACGACATGTCTTTGCTAATTATAGTAAATATATTTGTTAATGATTTTTATATCTATAAATATATTTGTTGAACCAATGGGTGAGGCAGATTGGGTAACGGCCCAGGGCTTTTTTAGAGCTTCTTTTATGACTAAATTGCAAAAATGGTCTATGTCAAAACTAGTAACTTTGGTTCAAAATGAGTTTAGCTCGCAAGGATGGTCCAACAGTTTCGTTTTGTTGCGAGTTTAGTCCAATTTCCTATGAATTTTTTATAATGATAGATTTGCCCTTATTATTTAATTTTCTATTTGTTTATAATTTCTTTTTATTTTTCTAATTAAATTTTAAACAAAAGAAAAAAAAATGTAACCCCACTTTCTTTATTCCCTACAAGATTAGTCCGATCACCACTGCTACCGGAAACCACCACCACCACCATCACTCCAGAAAAGCAAATTTTTTTTCATATTTGTAAAACAAAATAATCATTTTTTTTCATTTCGGCAATCTAAAACATGAACAATCCAATTTTCTATAAACTCAATTTTTTCCATATCAATCAAATTGGAACAAGAACACTCATGAATAAGAAATCTGAAAACATCCAGAAAACAAAAATGAAAACCAAATCGATTATCGATTTCTAAAAACAAAATCGATGGAAAAGAGGGTGGATGTTATTGGTATCTTGATCTGGAAAGTCATCGGTCGGACGTTGGAGTCGCTGGAGCCGGAGCCGCCACCTCTCACCGGAATAGGTTTCCAACGTGGGTTACTGTCTGGGATCTTTGCAACCTCTATCTTCATCTGTACGGAGGTGACGACGGCCATTTAACAAACCCTAAATTGTCACCAAGAAAAGCTCAAGATCTCCGCCGCCATGCTCCTACGATTCTTCAGATCTATTTTGGACTCACACTCGAAACACCAAAACCCTCTTTGTCAGCTTCAGATCTTCGCCTCTATGATCCTTCGATTTGAAAACCCTTCGATCTGAAAAACCCTCCTATTTGAAAACCTACGTCATGTTGAGCTCGCCATTGCTACGAGAGAAGAACTGATAAAAAAGATGAACCGGGATCCGAAAGATTTAGAGTTCATGGCTGACGAGACCTAAACATTTAAGGGGTGGCGCCGACGGTGGTCTAATGAACCACAAATCTGTGAACAAAGAACCGGAGTTAAGGTTTCTCTTGTTGAAAACTGAAGCGGGGGAGGAAGAGAGATGAGCGGGTGGTGACTCCATCTAGATAATGGCTACTGTGGCACAGGGTGGCGGTCCGACGAGAAGATTCCAACTGATCTAATTTTTCCAGCAGCTTGTGTTCTTCTAAAATGAAAATGCATTAGAGAGAGAAAGAGAAAGAGAGGAAGGAGGGATGAGCTGTGTATTTTTATTTCTCTTTTTTATTTCTGATTTATGCAATAAAAAGAATTAAGAAAATAAAACTAAAAAGGGCAAATTCATCATTATAAAAAAGTTCATAGGAAATTGGACTAAACTCGCAACAAAATGAAACTATTGGACCACTCTTGCAAGCCAAACTCATTTTGGACCAATGTTGCTAGTTTTGACATACCACGGGGATCATTCTTGCAATTTTGTCTTCTTTTATATATATATATATATATATATATATATATATATATATATATATATATATATATATATATATATATATATAATTGAGAAAAAAAAGTTGAGAATAAAAGAATCATTCTCAGTCAATCATTTAATTAGCACCTTAACATAAAATACACGGTGATAAACTTGTAAATATGATATGATATCCTTCAATCACAGATACGTAACTCTAGATAAATTTGATAACAATTCAAATTTATTACTACTCGATCGTTCATCATCCAAATTTCTTCTTCAACCTTTAATGATCATCCAGATTTCTTCAATTAAATCCTCGGTCAACATCATCCAGTGTTAATCAATCATCAATCTTCGTCAAAAACATGTTCATCAACATCATTCAACATTAGAGAAAAAAAATTGTTTTTGGTTCTTTCAATCCAACCTTCAATTATGCGTGAATACGATCATATCTTCAACATCTAAGATTAATTATACTCTCAGTGTCATTAGATTTAAATTGTATATGTGTTTGCATCTACAAATAGGTTGGGTAGAACATGGGTAGATGAAATAGTTGATGTGAGACGAAATATTAAGTATTTTTGAGCTCTATGTGTTCACTTATTGTTTGGACTCAATGTGTTCATTAGGTATTTTAGAATTCTATGTGTTCACTTGGTGTTTGAACTCAATGTGTTCATTAGGCATTTTCGAACTCTATGTGTTCACTTGGTATTTTTGGACTCAATGTGTTCATTAGGTATTTTAGAACTCTATGTGTTCACTTGGTATTTTTGGACTCAATGTGTTCATTAGGTATTTTAGAACTCTATGTGTTCACTTGGTATTTTTGGACTCAATGTGTTTATTAGGTATTTTAGAACTCTATGTGTTCACTTAGTGTTTGAACTCAATGTGTTCATTTAGTATTTTTGAACTAGATGTGTTCACTTGGTGTTGTTGAACTAAGTGTGCTCGCTAAGTGTTTTAGAACTAAGTATTCACCAGATGTTTTGAATTAATTGTTCACTAGGAGTATTAGAACTAGGTGTTTGTTAAGTATGTTGAACTAAGTGTTTACCGATCGTAATTTGTGGACCTTGGCAGTGGTGGACTTTGTGTCAGTTCCTTCGATCAATCCTTAGGAATAAATGTATAAAGGATAGTTGATTCTTAGGGTAAATCCTTAAGAAAAGGAGATAATGGGAATGAGTATTTGGTTTGATTGTTTGATAATTGAATATAATAAATGTATTATTGTGGGTTGAAAACCCTCTATGTTCACTAGGCTCCCAAGCCTAACCCAGTCAGTTTAATTGTATCACAAGTATTGATACGAAGTTGCTTTGCACTGAGAGATTAAAGGAGATGTAAATCACTAGAGTAAATGAATGTATGTTTTGTTTATGCTTATGTGTCTGTATCGTAACATGACATCCCGATGTTTTATTATTTAATGAAAATACATTCTCTTTGAGAAATGTTTTGATAAGTTTTTATCATATCTTGTTTTGAGAACAAATTCCGCAACTGTTTTCTTTAAACGAATACTCTGATTTATAAAACAAAGCATAAAACAAATCGTTCTTTTCTGGCCGTAAAATCGGGGATGTCACACAAAGGAAGCATGAAAAGCATGAAATTATGAACAGATCTAATGTTGATTCCTTATACTCTATTTTTTGTTTATTTTATTTGTTTTTATAATTTCATTTTGTGCTAATCTTGTAGCCAATAACACTTAAGATAAACCATACAGATGGGGGATCTAGGAATGGTTGAATTTTCTAGAAATATGCTTATGGTGGATCTTATGCTGTTGCAAAAGGTATAATGGTGTTTGTGAGTTTAATTTATTTTGCTACACTTTTAAACTTTGGTGTGTTTCCAATGGAAGTTTCTTGATTTAACCCTTAATAAAATTTTGATGCTTTTTCTGGTTTGGTATGGTCTACAAAGAAGATTTTCAAACAAATCTAGGTTTTACGAAATTTGCATCGATTTACATCAATATCTTTCATCTCTAACTTTGTTCCTTTTCTTGCAGGCTTAGGAAGTATATCAATTCTTTTTGTTGTTTATTTTTAAAGTGTTTTATGATGTTATTTAGCATGTTCAAGATCAACACCCATAAGAAGCTTAGGAAGTATATCAATTCTTTTTGTTGTTTATTTTTAAAGTGTCTTATGATGTTATTTAGCATGTTCAAGATCAACACCCATAAGAAGGAAGTACCTTTTCCAAGAAATGTTTGGCCTCTAAAAAGAATCTAGGTAACATAACTATGATTATTCTTTTTTTAATTATTTTTTGTTTAATCACTTGAAGATGAGCCTTTACATTTTATTAACTTCATGTTTTATACCTAATTGGTTATTACCATTAATATGATAGTAATGTATGTAATCATTACTTATTTGATTGTTCTATATGGCATACATGTTGCCAATGGTTATTCTATAAAGACAATGAAGTCTTTAAAATGGATTTTATGGAGGTGGGCATTGTATGACATTTCTTTTCTGATAACTAATTCGTTTCATATGTTGAAACATTTCATGTCTCACATCATCCAAGACACTCAATAACAACATATATGCATTTTTGTTTATATTTATCTCTTGCACACAACTAAAGACAACCAAAGATGTTGCCACCGGTCAAATGAAGAGTTCAAAATTCAAATATCATTCTCATTGAGCTGTAACGGTTTTCTATTTTTTGCAATGAATTTACTGGGTTAAACACTTTATTTTGTTAGCTATATATATATATATATATATATATATATATATATATATATATATATATTTGCTTTAATTGACATGACTTAATGAGTTATAGAATTTCGAGTAGTTTTGCTTAATAGTATATCAAAATGTGACTTTTTTGACTATTTTTTATAGACATTTTAAACTAGGATGTTATAAAATGAGATTGTTAGTTGGAAACCATATAACGAACTAGGATGTTATAAAATGCAGATAAATGACAGTCACTTCATTCGTCTTTTTTTTTTTTTTTGTAGATGCTTCATTGGATAGAATTTTTGTTGTTGGTCTTTATGGACTGCCAATCTCTACTACTGTTTATTATAATTTTTTGGGGACAACGGAACAAGTTTTATTATAAACAAACATTTTAGTTTGTAACATTACGTGATTTTAGAATATATATATATATATATATATATATATATATATATATATATATATATATATTATATATATATATATATATATATATATATATATATATATATATAGCAACACTCAAATATATTAGTATACATCAACTGGATTATGTATCGGTATCCTATTGATATGTTGGTCAACATCTTAGAAAAAGGGTATTTTGCCAAGGATTCTATGTTTCTTTGTAGACGATATATTCTCATTCAAACTAAATATAACAATTTTCAATTCGATTATGTGTATCGGTATTCGATTGATATGTAAAAGTTTCCAGTATAATATCATTCGTGTATGAAGGTCAACATCTTAAAAAAAAGGTATTTTGCCAATGATTTTATGTTTCTCTATAGATAACATATTCCCATTCAAGCTAAAATATAACAATGTTCAATTCAGTTATGTTTTTAGATGTCAATCAATAAAGCTTAGGGCTAAACAATTTCAAATGTATGTATATATCTTTTAGAATTGATTTCCTCATATAACCAAATTTATGTAGCATTGGCCAGAGAGATATCACGTGTCAATATAAAAGTATTAGTGAGTCCTGACGAACGATGTATATAAATCACTTGTGGTGTATAAAGAAGTTTTGCACAATTAATACTAATTCTTATTTTTTATACATTTGATGTACAATCAATCGTGTGTTTGTATACATTTGTAAACTATTATAATTCTTTATTTTTTTATTCTTACAGATTTTATATTTGTTAGCATAACTCTTATTGATAATTGTTTAGATGTAGTAAACTATTTGTACAAAAAAATTAATCGCCTTTAGAAACTAATTACAGAATATATTATTTGCACCCATCGCTTGGCACGGATAAACGGTTAGTGTGTGTGTGTGTGTGTGTATATATATATATATATATATATATATATATATATATATATATATATATATATATATATATATATATATATATAGATTCATGTGAGACAACCTAATTTTGTGAGAGCGTGAGATGCTATCCTAACCACTTATATATATATATATATATATATATATATATATATATATATATATATATATATATATATATATATATATGGTCAAATTCATGTGAGACGATCTAATTTTGTGAGACCGTGAGACGCAATCCTAGCCACTTCTTTAGTAGATAAAAAAAACATTTTAAAAATACAAAATAATTGAAGTTTTTTGAATTTTTTTTTTCAAATATAATTTTCGGAATTTATATTTTCCGAAAAAAAGTAAAAAAATAACAAAAAAAAAATAAAAAGAATACATTAGTTTAAATATTCTAGTAGAATATTGTAACATTCTAAAAATCACATTAGAATATTTACACTGTAATATTCTATTAGAAAATTTCACATATTTTTCAAAAAAAAAAAATGGTAATTTTTATTTATTTCTTTATGTATTTTATTTATATTTTTTTAATTAATTAAAGTTCCGAAAATAATAATTAAAAAAAGAAAATTTGGATTTTTCCTTTTATTTTGTATTTTAAAGTATTTTTAGATTTGGTCTCACAGTCTCACAAAATTAACATGATCTGAAATAAATCTGAACATATATATATATATATATATATATTATATATATATATATATATATATATATATATATATATATATATATATATATATAGGAGTAGGATCAAATGAGAACACCTAAAAGGTTGAGAAGGCGAGAACATATCTGAACCATTTAAATACTTAAATCGAAGATTATTATTAAGTGGACTATTTATGAAAAATTGTAAAACTAATGGTATTAAAGTGTAACTTTGAAATGATCAGAAGGGCATAATAGGAATTGCAACATTATCTATTTCCTATAATTTCTCACCCTCTCACCTAGTTCCTCTCATCTTTCTCCTATTCCCCGTCTCTCTCGTCACTCTCTCTCTCTCTCTGGGGTTTTATAACAAATCTGCCTCCATCATAAAACTCACGCCATCATCGATCTGGGCATCACCCAGTATTACACCATCACAGAAGCAAAAATCGAATCTATACAACTCTTCTTTCTCTTCGATCGACACCATGCACAAGAAAAAATCACAGGTAATAGTATCAATTATAAAACTCAAAATTTGACCTATTCTCTTCTTTAATCGATCGTACCCTTCTTAAATTCTCTTCTTTCTTTCTTGAAATTGATCACGGATTTTGTTGATATAGAGTGTAATAACAAGCTACTAGTTGAATTTTGGTGCTTGACTGATCACTAAAAAGGAAAAATGAAGGCAGAAGATTTTTGGTCCGGTGGTTCAGTGATGGCAGACCCGTTAAGAGGGGGGAACGACCATCGATCCTCTGTCCTTCTTGAATCTGTCGCCAACAATAAACCGAGGTAAGAATCTCTAGTATTCTTTTTGTTTCATCTTCTTCCTGATTTTGATAAGAACAATAAAAAGAACAAAACAGATGAAACATCAATCCATTGGGGGTGTTTGGCTATTATTTTCACAGGAAATGGGAGAAGAAGAACATAATGATTTCTTTTCTTTATTGTTCTTTTTAAAATTAGTGGGGTTTGATATGTGTTATTGTGTTTGGAGTTTGATGTTTGGCAGAATTTGATAGGCTTAACTGGGTGTTTCATCTTTTGCTCATTACTTGATTCTTCTACATTTACAGAAACACTGAGATGGATATTCTTAGTCAAACTTCCAATACATCTTCTTTTCCAATGGATCATTCAAGAAAGAAGAAAACAAGAAGCAGACATGATGCACCAAAGAAAGTGGCTGCAACAATTGCCAAGTGGAGGAAGGCAGAAAGAAAACGACAACAGGGGTGTTTGGGTTTCTTTGTGTGTCGTAAAAGAGTAGGAGAATACAAAGGGGGCTGTTGTCCTTGGCTCGCCGGAAACCACCAACAAACACCTCTGGTGGGGGTGTTTTTGTTGCACCTCGAAGACATGCGAAAAAGAAGTGAGTGTGAGAGGAAATGGAAGAATGAAAATTTGTATTTATCTATGAATAGCAGTGCATTCATGTGTGAATAACCGTGAATGAATAGCAGTGCATTCATTTGTAAATAGTAGTGTATTTATTTGTGAATAACAGTTAATGAATGTGTTTATTTATGATTAGAGGTATTTATTTATTCAATTCTGAATAACAGGGTACTTATTTCTTAATAACAATGTATTTATTTGTGAATAACAATGTAAGCATGTGTTAATGAATATATTTATTTATGATTAGAGGTATTCTTTTTATGAAGAAATGATAATTTTTACACTCTTTTTATTTTCAATTGATTAAAAAATAAAATTGAATTACTTGTAAATTGATATTTATTTATTTGTGATTCGAGTAGTATCAGGTTTTTTGAAAAAAAAAAATTCATTTATGAATACCAATATACTAATTTGGTGTTCAATTTCTATTCATTTTTTTGAACAAAAAAAAACGTGAAATAAGAGGAAAAAATTGTTTTTTGTAAGAATTTTTTTCAGTTTTAAAATAAATTTTGGTAAAAATGATTTTTATATTCCATTAAAAAGAAAAATAAAAAATTGAATATTTATTTCTTTTTTGGTAACTGATCTTAAATTTAAGGGATTTTGATTGAATTTTAGTTTATTTTAATTTTAATTAAAATATACAATTACTAGTATGCCCTTATATGTTGATTGGTCTAGAATTGTTCTTGCGTTCTCAACCTTTTAGGTGTTTTCATTTGATCATCTCCCTATCTATATATATATATATATATATATATATATATATATATATATATATATATATATATATATATATATATATATATATATATATATATACCACCCCTTTTACATTCATATTGATGATAAGTGGTATGTGTTTTAAAGTCACGATAAGATATGTTTCAATATTCAATCACGTCTGCTTCCCATCATTTAATTAGAGTAATTTTTGACTATGATTGGAAAAAAAGGACTATGGTTTATTATATTCAATTTTGATGCAAGTATACCATGCACTAACTAAATAGTGCTACCAAAGTTCCACATGTCATTAACACATCAAAGAGGCAATACTCAATTTTCACAAGCTATATATTTTAAAGTCTAATATTAATTGTTGCTTACAAAGTTCCGTAATTCATAATAAAATATCGCATGGTGTACACTTATGGACGGATATCCTCTTAAATTAATAATGTCAGATTCGTGAAAAGGGAAAGTTTGCACATCTGAAATGAGAAAAAAAAAAAAAGTTGTGTTCTATAAATCTTACAAATTAAAACCAAAATAAAAATTTCAATTACTAAAAGAAGATAGTGCTGCTAAAGGGGAGATTACATCACCTCTCATCATCCAACAACGAGTGCCACAAGATCCTAGATTAATGGGATGTGTCACCCATTTTCATTGTTACTTTTTGTTTATATATATATATATATATATATATATATATATATATATATATATATATATATATATATATATATATATATATATATATATATATATATATATATATATATATATATATAGAGAGAGAGAGAGAGAGAGAGAGAGAGAGAGAAAAGTTGAGAAAGAAGGAATGAATTTGAACAAATCATTTTGAATCTGCCGTTTAAGTGCTCTAACGTACGAAGCCAACCACACTGATCATATTAATATATGAATACGTATATTCATATATGAATAATTATACTGGTAATGATTATTCATATACGGAAATAACGACAACGGGTGTTGGCGGAGATGACAGTTGGTTGTGGAAGTGCTGGTGATGGCAGTAATTGTTTATGGAGGTGGTGGTGGTTGGTGGTGGAAGCAGGCGGCGTGTTCGTATGTGAATATACATATATTAGGTGTGAGTCTCATGTATTACATGGGTATATTTAAAACAATTATATATGTATAAACATTTGAAAATTTTGAATTTATAAGAAAAATGAGAAAAATATTGAATTACTAAAATTAAAGTGTTTTTTTTTTTCTTTTAAATTTAAACAAATCATTTAGAAAAAATAATCAAAGCAAATTAATGAGATTTTATTTTAAAAATTTGAAATTATAAGGAAAGTCAATTAATGAAATTGATAAGCATTTATTATTAAATTTAAATACCATATGGAATTTAATAAAATAGGAAAACCATAAAATTACATATGGAATAAAAATTAATTCAAAATAACCACAAAATGACATGTGGCAAAATGAATGAGAGTGTGACAAGTGGCAAAAAAACCTTCATTTATTAAAGAACTAGGTGTGAGACCCATGTATTACATGAGTTTAATTAAAAAAATTAAATATAAAATTTTAACAATTTGAAAAGTTTGAATTATAAGAAAAATATGAAAAATTTGAATTCTTAAAATTAATGAGATTTTAATGTATTGAATACATTACATATATAACTTTTTCTAATAAATACTTTACATATATATTACATTACACATTAAATGTGAAATTTTAATTTAATAAATGAAAAATACAATAAAATGACAAGTGAAAAATAGAAAATTTAAAAATTCTAGAAAATGCTATGTGTCCAAATGAATGAAAAGAGGACATGTGGCAAAAAAAACCTTCATTTATTATAGTAGATATATTTATATTTATATTTATATATGAATAATACTCAACCTTTGTCGGTTCGGTAAGCCGGAATGTTTTGCTGTAAAATTAAATAATTGATTGAGTATGATTCCCCCGTTCTCAATATTTTTTATTTCTCAATTGAATATATATATATATATATATATATATATATATATATATATATATATATATATATATATATATATATAATCATTGAACATTTCTGAATTTTTAATTTTGTTATTATATTTGATTTAAGCTATTGTTAATCACTAAACTTTATTATTATTTTTTTAGCCATTATCTTAGTGATAGCTGTTTTACTACATCGAACTTCGTTAATGTTATAATTAGTTATTGAATTTTTTTGGGATGTTTTATTTTAGTAATTATAATTTGTTTAACATACCATTAGTTACTGGACATGTTCAAAATAATATTTTTTCACAGTCTCCTTTATTATTATCATTTATAAAAAGTGAAAAAACTACTACTTTTTTTCTTTACTCTATAACTAAACATCTTACACCAATTATTTTGAGTAAATTATACGAATGCTCATTGTGATTCAGGATAGCCTGCATATAATCAACATCAATAATTAATTTCACTTTGATATACTTAACCCTTTATATTTTGTTGTAATTTTGATGTCTAGAATGTTAATGTCATCTCGCTTCATTCCTTATATGTATTTTGGATTTCGATACTTCAAAGGAAATATTTGATAAGAATCAATTACCATAAAATTAACGTAATAATAATATCTCTTATCCACATTTTCTTTGGCCCAATGTGTTTATGATTTCAATTGATTGATAAAAAAACATGGTCCTTGTGCGTTGAAAGAGGATTCGATTTAACGTCTGTAGATTAAGGCTAGTCAATTAAAGGACAATAAGCGTCAATGATTCCGTTAGAGCGATATTTAGCCTTAGCGATCTAAACGAAAGTCGTAGAGTTCGTTAAACCATGAGCGTGCATAAAAAGAACGTCCAAATCTGACTTCGTATGAGGAAGTTATGATTTTTCTAAGTTTCGACTTAGCAGTATGCAGTCTGAATACTCGATTTGAGATCAAGCGGGTTTTAGCCAAAACAATCTAAATGAGAATCGAAGATCTTGTTGATAGTACTGCAACGGTAAAAAGACAGACGAAAACAGACGTCGGATAAAGAAGTTATGAATTTATAACGAAATTTTCTTGTCCCGACCTACTAAAAATAAATAATAAAAATAAATTCAAAATTAGCCGACGGAGTCTAACGGAAAGTTGTAGATCATAGTCTCACCTACGCGGGGATATAAAGAACATCGAAAATGGATCTCGTATGAGGAAGATATGAAATTTTGAAGTTTATTAAATAATTAAAGTATTGAATTAAAATATAAATTTCGATATTATCCAAAAGGGGGGGGGGGAGTGAGTCAGCGACCTTATCCAGGTTACGTCCAACATAATTTGGGTTTTCAACCCCTATAAATAGATGTCGAGTGCAGCTGAGTTTTGATGCTCAATTCTTCCCTTTCTCTCGAGTTTTACCTCGTTTTGCGTGCAAGAAATACCCCGAAGCCCAGGTATCATTCCCGAGACCCGAAGCAAGTCCCGAAGCCCCGAAGATCCCGAGAAGTGAAATTCCCGAGCCGAAGCTCTGTCCGCGAGAAGACAATTTTTGTGAAGATCTTCCAGATTGCCGAAGAATACTACTTCTACAAGCCGTAGTGCTGTCCGATCATCTTCTGATCAAGTGAGTGTATAGTTACTTTCTTCTAACACATAAATATAGAGTATTAGCTATGAAATACGTGCTATCTGTTATATATATTATTTGTCTATTTGAGATGGGCTTGAAATTGATGTTTTTATGCGGGTGTTAAATGATTTAAACTGTGTTTGTATTTATATCTACAAAAATGTTGGGTAGAACATGGGTAGATGGAATAGTTGGTGACGATGCGACTTCGTGCCTTTTTGATAAACCTTGGTGATGATGTGACTTCATGCCTGTTGTGTAAAACCCTGGTGACTATGAGACGTAGTGCGTATCTTATGAACCCTGGTGATTATGTGACGTAGTGCCTGTTGTATAAACCGTGGTAGCAAATGGACTTTGTGTCAGTTCCTTAGGTAAATCCTTAGGAATGAATGAATGAAGGATAGTTGGTTCTTAGGGTAAACCCTTGTGAAAATAAAGGAGATATGGGGATGGGTATTTGGGTTGATTGTTTGATAATTGAATATAACAAATGTATTATTGTGGGTTGAAAACCCTATATGCTCACCAGGATCCCAAGCCTGACCCACTCAGTTTTCTTTGCATTACAGGTAATGACACAAGTATATAAGTTAGTGGACTTGACGAGAGATTTTGGATTATAGATCAGTATTTATAAATAACTGTTGTAAGGTCTATTTTATATTGCTTATGTTTTTGGTCTATATTGGAACATGACATTCCGAG